TATTACTAAGTCTATGGACCTGGCTAATGTGATATTAAACAGTTAATGAACCTGCTTAATGTGATATAACTAAGTTTATGGTCCAGGTTAAGGTGATATTAGCAAGTATATGTACAGATCTAGTGTTATATTACAAAGTAAATGGACCTGGCTAGTGTGATGTAACTACGTTTATGGACCTGTTTAGTGTCATATGATAGTGTAATGATAAATGAAATAAAGGAAAGGAAAGTTATTACATAATTAGGATGTATACATCATAAGTAATGTTACATCATTAGTAATTATAAGTACCTGTGACGAAGTTTGTAGAGCACTCGTTTTTTCATTTAGTTAACACTTATATCAGGTTTGATTATACTCTATTCAAATTGATCATAGGAATTCCTCTGCACGCCTGATCGCCGATCTGTTATTGTATTGCTATAAAAAACACTTGATGTTGAGTCTCCTTGACGATACATAACAAAATGTAATAGTAGCTTTTAGTATCACTTCCCGATACCTTGATGCTATTTTTTAATAAAGATTATTCTTATTTTGATAAAAATGATGTCTAATGTATATCCCGTTGAACTTTAACTGAATAAAACGAATTATAAAACCTCATTTTGAATCTTCATTTTATTGTCAACAAAAATACTATTCACGCGAAAATATATGATAAGAGAGATGACTATCTTTAGTAAGGTAAACTATCCACATTTAAATGGAGACGTAACCCAGGCACCCATCTTACGGGGTATATGTTTCTCAATTGATTAAATTAGCTAAAGCTTGTTTTACAGTTGGACACTACGCTTTTCCATTTGATTACATCTGGCAGACCAAGTGGGAGACTCTTTGTTGGACAGTTCTCAAAACCCATCGGATATTGTCATAATTCTTCTTCTGCCTTGCTTCGCTTGGACCTTGTTTGTAATTTTCTCGCTGCTATGTCTTCCTTTTTTGACTACTTGTGTACCGGTCAATGGGTTTACTTTTAGATCATATGATCATTTCTGTGTTTTACTTATTTTACCTTTTGTAACCATGGCAACTGTTAAAATTTTACTTGGCGGGATTCGTTTTATTTACATTATCTCTTTTAAAATGGTGGGGCTAAGAGTGAGGTTTAACCAGTAACTAATATGTATGTCTTGTTTGTTGTTTCATACTTAGTCTATTATTATGACACTTTTATGTTTCTTCTTGTTGTTTTTGTCTAAGAAAAATGCCCTTGCCAACTTGTCCCTAATTTTGTTTTATTACTCTTATTTTGCCTCCCCTCCTCTTTCTCCGTCCAACAAGTTCGTGCTTTGCCTTGTGCCCTATCCTGTTTTTGTTTGGAAGTCCTGCTGGGCTCCTTGCCGATGGTTTTGTTGCTGGATCGTGTTGGGGTTGAACCCTTCCTTAATGATTTTTTTTACATTTTAGCTTATGTTATCTGTAAGCAAAATAGATTCATACCATGAACTTCTTAATCAAGCGTTTTCCTTCGTTGGTTTTTTGTTTTGGTTTGGTTAATGTCGCATAGACACTTAAAATGATATATTACGACTTTGTAACTGTATTGCAGATGCACCTTCGAGCTTTATTTCAGGCAGCAGTGAAACCTAAAAAACAACCCCGAAGTTCCGCAAGCAAGCTGGAGAGCGTCCTCGAGCGTCCTCGATTACAAATTGAACAAACAGCGGTGAAGGACAATTGGCTTTAAGCCACACTCTTAACCACTTGGCAACGGACACTCCATCGCGTTTCATAATTTTCGAGAAATTATTGTAATGGTATTGGTAATCGAAACATGAAAGAGGCTTGAAAAGTTGTATCTGGCATATATTTTAACTCGCAAAAGGTAAAGTATTTTATTTTAGATTCACCTGTCCTTTTCTATTGTACACTTGTGAATTTAGATCGGTTAACTTTCCGAAGTGTATGTAACAATACAACCATGTTAAAGTGACTTTATCTTGAAAACAAATGCATCTTTTTATAAAAAAGAGACAGCAACTCAATGTAAAAAATTTAAACAGCTCAAAATAAGCGAAGAAGGAGCGATTGTAGCTGATCATTATTTTTATTTTCATCTTACTAATTATGAATCAAATAGACAGTTACGAAATACATTTTAATTTGTGCACTATCTTTGGAGTTAAATAAAGGGCAAGACTTATTATCGAATGATACCCTAATATTTTTATGTTTATTTTGTGAGACCGTCAGATGATTAAAGTATACATGTATACATGGTGCAAAGGGTGATGGGCTTGACACTACCACATGTCGCGTTGATATAAACATGCGATTAAAGATTCAACGTTCAAAATACATATGAAGGATATAAATTTCAGCCTTACAGCGGGATATTTCATTAAAATAATGCTTTAATCCTAGTAGGAAGTGTGTGTACAAGTAGCATAACATAAGTCAAAAATGGTAAAATTATTTTATTTAAACATTAATTATGCATTTTTTCTTTTTTTCCTATTTACTTTCATTTGTTTATTTGTTTGACAGATTTTGCAAGTAATTAATGAATTATTATCTCACAGGATCGTTACTCGGTATATGAAAGTAGAGATGTTTCTGTAATGAGGTATGCAAAAAACATGATCCTTTGTAAATGTGTTTGATTTCAGACACAAATATCGTATCAAATGTATATCTGTAGCCTGTCTTTGGAAAGACATATTGCCAGTGCTTTAGTTTAGTTGTTGCGCTATATTCCACCAATAACAGTTCGGTGAAGGACTCTACTTAAGGTTTGATATTAATAGAACTGGAAAATGCTTTTTCCAGAGATTTGTGTATCATTTGATGTAGATCTGAACCAATAACTTGTGTGCAACTTTTCAGATCATTTCTCATCCCGATTTTTCAAGACTGGCTAATTTTTATTGTGAAAAAAAGGTTGTCAATGCTTTTCATTCGAACGGGCTAATTTGCACTTATTATCGATTTTCAGTTGAATTTTAAGTGTTTTGTTTCTTTATCATCCATTGCAGGATTTTTTTACTTTGTTTGCTTCGCTTAATATATGTGAACATTTAGCATTTTGCGTTTTTAGGAGGAGCTCCTTTTAAAATATCACCTTCAAGTCGCGTTGTGCGAGATATTTTATTTCATTAGTGTTGTCTAAAACACACTATCCCATAAACATGGATAAATTATTAAGTTGTTTCAGTTTTGTTAATGTAAAAAGTAAGCATTTAAGAAATGAAATTGATCGATATCAACACACGGCGCAGCCACTTCACCAATTCATTTTTGTAAATGCTTAGTCATGAACACTAACCAGTTTTAATTAGATTTTGGAAATAAGTGTAATAACAATATAATATAATTTCAGTTTTTCAAACGAAAAGTAGCATATAAACTTTGATGGATGTTTAAAAAATCAGTTTAATAAATCGACTTAAAATACATACTTAACTTGTTTGTGTTTATAACTAAGAAATAACAAATTAGATTTGATCAAACGTCTGCGCAGTGTGCCGATCTTGGACAATTTGATTATATTTATGCTAAATTTTGTAAAATAAACTGTGACAAGTTACAGATTGATACACTTTGCATTCTTAAATAGGAGATAACGTTAGACCTTTTCGTTAATAGAAAAAAACAATCTGCAGCATTAATTTGTAGGTCAGTTTAATTTATTTGATTTAAAAAGTAGAAATGATAATAATCAATAATTTTGAATTTTGAAAAGCTTGGAATGGTTTATCTGTCTTACGTAACAGTTAGACAAAGCAATCTACGGCATTCATTTGTACGAGTAGGCCACAATGAGTTTTTGATTAAAAAGTAGAAATAATGATAATTAATGATATTAAGTCTTGAAAGTTTGGAATGGGTTTATCTGGTATACTGTATAGTTAGACCCCTAACAACTTGAAATGTAAACACTACCTTTAACTAACATTTAATTCTGTACATATTGTATATAATTTACATGTTTAGATCAGCAATTTACACAATTTATGAGTCGAAAGTATCATTCAGCGCATACTTTAACGTCAATTATTGTAACTGGTGACATCGTAAGACCATTATTGAAGCAGGTTGATTAACGAAGAAGTATTTTCCCCTTTCAATATAGTACATTTATATGTTTCACAAAATCTAAGTGTGTACGACGCTTGACTGTTTAATTGAATTTGAAGCCAAGACCCTACCATTATACGTATCTGATAAATCATTATTTGCACTATTCTTAATATCAACATGTAATAGAAAAATAACCAGATTAACGGAAGGTTATTGACCAATTTAATCTTATGATAACTTACCTATACTTTACTGTCAAAAGTTTCAGATTAATGGGAAATAAATATGAATTGATACTGGCGACAAATAAACTTAAACTTAGGACATGCTTTTTATAGACGTTTCCAACGAAGGGAAGTTAATCTGTGGCATTAGGATCACAATGTTTTATTATTTATTTTGAAAAGGAAGGGTTTTATAATTAACAAAAAAAATATTAAAAATTTTGGAATAGTTTTATCTGGTTTGCTGTATAATAGTCAGACCTTAAAACCGGTAAGATAATCTATATATTACACAAAACCTTAATTGTTTTAAACAAATGTAAAATGTAATATTTATACGTGTTTAAACATGTTAAATTGATAAGCAGTTTACCTCGAAAATTAAATTAATCAGGTAATGTATTGTAACTGGCCATTGAAACAGTTTGATGATGGAAGCATTTATATCCTGCAATATTACATTTAAATATTTCGCAAATCTGGAGAGCGTAATACTATGATGATTGCCTATTAAATGGACCTTTATCTTTCACTAGCTATAACAGTATAATAATTTGCTAAATCCTTTTTTTTACTTTTACTATTCTTAACAAATTAACAAGATACACAGAAGGTTAACGGATTTATAAATATTTTGTATCTCATTTGGATGTTGCAAGTAGAACGTTAAAAATGGCAGTTTTTCGTGGTTGATATATGTTCTTTTTCTTAAGAGAATTCTCCTTATTGTCTATGCATAATTTCCACCCCAACCAGCTACATAGCGATCAATTAAGCAATACACATTTGTGGTTAATCAAGTTGTAAGAAAAATTTCGTTATGCGCCAAATTAAATAATATATCTATTTTAGTAATAAGGAAGATAGTGATAAAAATTCTGTATTCCAGAAATGGCCGTTTCAGGACGTAAACAAGTAGACATGCTAGGATCAGTAGCAGCAGGATCAGCAGAAGACTTTGATCACTGCTGTGAGCCATGTCTTACCACAGGTCAACGTATAGAAGCTTACGGATTTTGCGTCACTTGTCAAGAATACCTTTGTAAAACTTGCCACGATTGTCACAGAAAAGCAAAAGTCTTACGAAATCATCAAATGCTGCAGCGTAATGATTTTGATAAGATCCAAACTACACAGAAATCAAACAATGAATGCACTGAAATGTGTCAAGTTCACAAAAAAGAAATAATCAAATTTTATTGTCCATCACACCATGCACTAGGATGCAATGATTGCATAACTTTAGGACATAGAACATGTAAAGTTGATTACATACCTGAAAAATGCGAAGGTGTCGCAGATGGGAAGGAGTTCGATGACGTCATGCAGAAACTCGGCGAAAAAATGAAAGAAGCATCAGAAATTTTGAAGAAGGCTAAAGGCAGTAGAAGCAACATAAATGATTACAATAAAGAAATCATCAAGGCGATCACTGAATTCCGGAAAGAAATAAACGACCGTCTTGATCTGATGCAAAAAGATGTTTTAAATAATGCCGAAGAAATAAAGACCAACGACAACAAAATTATTCAGCATGTCCTTGATAAATGTGAAAATACGATTTCCAGTATTAAATGCTTGCAATCAAGTCTACATGCAAGCAAATCAAATCACCAAGACGGTCAACTGTACATTGACATGAAGCGGGCAGAATCTACACTTAAATCATATGAATTGAATGACGCAGAACAAACGTTAAGGCATACCAATATGCACTACTCATTTCAAAGAAATTCTGAACTGGAAACATTGTTCTGTAAGAAAATGGTCTTCGGTGAGATTGTCGATTATTCTCGTCATGAATCTAAAAAAGTGACAAAAGCTGTTGATCGTCTGATTGGGAAAGGAGATATCAATGTTAAAACGTCATCAGATAAGGAGGATTGTGATATTACAGGATGTGCAGTTCTTAACAGAAATAAATTAGTTCTAGCTGATTTCAACAACAATAAGGTAAAATTGATATATATAGAGAACAGACTTGTAGAAGAGAAAACTCTAGACTCAGCGCCATGGGATATTGTTGCAATGTCTCAGGAAGAGTTCGCTGTAACAATGCCGGGAAACAACGAAATATTGGTGATGACAACAGACGACAAGCTATCATGTATACGCAGTATTAAAGTAGATAGGTCATGCTATGGTGTAGACTTTAATCAGGATTGTCTTTATGTTTCTTGTTTGTCTCCTCCTAGTGTGATTGTACTGAATACACAAGGTGATATACTGAATAACATCCCTTTGAACTTTCTTTCACCTGACTATATACCGTTTATTGCTGTGAGAAAGAACTCCAAACTTCTGTATATCAGTGACCGTGGTAACGACAATATAGTGAGCGTATCATTACAAGGGGAAGTTACAGCTACATATAAGCATACAGATCTTAGTGGACCACAAGGAATGTTGATGTTAGATGATGGGTCATTACTTGTCTGCTGTTTTGATAATGAAACAATTTATAAAGTAAACGGAGACTTGAAGCAGGGGGAGATAATGTATAAAGGTGAAAAAAATCTGGATCTGCTTTCAATATGCTACAATTCACGCTATGATGAGGTTTATGTTGGTTGCAATAGAGACCAGTTGAAAGTTTTAAACACGCAATGAACACTGCATTCATTTTTCATTGATTTGAAAACGGAAGAGTGCATAAAATTATGTGGTAACTGTTCTTTATTATAGAAAAGGTACAATTATAAAAGAACTTACATGACTTTAAGACATTTATTCCATTATTACATTTAAACTTGTAAATTATGAATCATATCTTGAACAAACTTATTTCAAATTGACTTCAATGCACTGTTATATAAATGATTTTAATGTTATATAAATAATTTTGATCAAATTAAACTCATGAGTTTTAAAAATATCTATTGCAAACGATTATACTCGAGAAAATTGTTGGCTCTACAAAATGATAATATTTTATATTAGAAAAGTTATATTCCCTCGCTAAATGGATTGTATATAATACGGATGAAAGCTTTTATAACAAAGACTGCTATGTGAGGTAAGGTTATATTAAATGTCTTAAACATGACCATATATCTTGTCATATATCTTGAATATATTTTGAAGATACAGCACAATTCATTTATTAAAGAAAACTGAAAATTGTTTACATATTAACAGTAGTATAGATAAAATAAACGTTATGATTACACGTGCGTAGTACTATGTAAATAATATTTTATATTGCTGCAAGCATCACCGATTAGCTTTCTTTACAGACATATTTCACGAAAGAAATAACGTTAAAAGAACAAAATCAAAGTTGTTAAGTGTAAGTATCATATGTCGTGAACCAAAGGTATTATTTTTTGTATAGTGTGATACAATACAATAGTGCTTATATTTATATAAAAGATATGTATACATGTATATATGACTGAAATAGGTATATTATTGTCTGAATGCTTTTAAAATACCACTTTAGGTAGCTGTTTCCCAATATACGTATGAGCTGAAGAAAATAAAATATGTAAAAATTGTGATTTTTTTAAACGGAATTGATGTATATTATACAACATATAGCTCGATAAATTCAAAATTGTTGACTTTCGTGGCATTTTATGCATTTAAAAATAATATACATCGAAAACAAAGAAATGTGACACTTTTAGGTAAAAGGGCAAAAACTATCAATTGGTATATATACGTTATCGTTAGTTCTTAGACAATATTTTATTTAATTATATACCTATAAATTTTCTCCCTAGAATACACGCCAATATTGAAGCGCAAATACGTTTCATCGGATATAAATTTTCGTATTATGTAAGTGACAAATACGGTACCATATATGGAAGTGACGGACTATTTTTGACGTTGGTTCCGATCTTAGCTTTGTATAACGTTGCATTTGGAAACGGGAACCAAAATTATTAAAGGCGTGGCCCGTTTTCAAGAACAACGTATTCATCCGTCAGTCATAGATTAATTTCTTGACAACTACATTGCATTTTCTTAATAAAACGAAAAGGTATATAATAAAAGGAAAATTACGTTGCAGTAGCTTTCTGAGACTATGTATTTTTCTACTCGCAACGTTGGAAAATTGATATCTCGCTCGACCTTTGGTCTCGCGATATCAATTTTCCACTGCTGCTCGTAGCAAAATACAAAGCCCCAGAAAGCTACTACAACATAATATTCCGTATGTATCATAGATTCCTGTTACCATTGCAACGAGAGGACATCTCAAAATTGCCAAAAATTGCTATTTTGCCTTAATTTTTTCCAACAAAAAAAGTGCTGCAACTTCTCAAGGGATTGAAATAGAGTCAAAGGCTTTTCAGCGTTGGTTACACGCTACCATATGATCGACCTGGAGTCATTTTTAGCCTCTGACAAGTCCAAAATTATCTTCGCGATGAGGGGGACTACCGCCCCCCTTCACACCCCAAAAAGAATGGGGCACATCCCCCTTCTGGTAACCCGCTGATGTATCTTTTAGATGGGGGCGGCGCCGAAAAAGTACTCACTTTATTAGCAACATTTCTCAAACGAAACCATGTGTTTGGGGTCCAAATAGCACATTTCTTCACTATTTTAGGCCTAAAAGAGGGAGGGGGTCGAAAGTGCGTTGTTTCGCGTATATATGGGGTAAAGGATTAACAAAAAATAATGAAAAACTTTGGAATTACCCAAAATCTAGTTATTCTGTGTAAAAATGTGGTCTTTCACCTAATTTTGGTGAAAACTTGTTGTTTTGTAACATTTTTAATTTTTTAAGTTAACAAAAAATGATGAAAAACTTTCACCCATTACCCATAATCTAGTTTTTCTATGTTAACATGAGGTCTTTTACCTAATTTTTGTGAAAACTTGTTGTTTTGTAACATTTTTAATTTTTTTTAGTTAACCCTTTACCTCATGAGCATATTGCGAAAAATGGCCGTTTTCATTGAAAAGCCTCCTGTTACAAGTTCAAACAGCTATGAAACTATGAAAAATGCTTCAATACTAATCAAACTTGGCACAAATGTTGACTGGACCATTGTTTTGTACCGACATGCTCAGTCTTAAATTTCCTATTACCATGGCAACGAGAGGACATCTCAAAATTGCCAAAAAATCGCTATTTTGCCTTGATTTTTTCCAACAAAAGTTATTTCAAAGTGCTTCAACTTCTCAAGGGATTGAGATAGAGTCAAAGGCTTTTCGCGTATATATTGGGTAAGGGGTTAAACATATTCATTTTTCTGTCGTCCAATTTATAATGATTTTACGAGTTTAAAAATGAAGGAGAAGAACTGATATATTATGCAAAATCACACCGGATCCATAAGAATAACATAAACAAAACATAATCAAATAAATCATACTTGGTAAGAGGGAAAATTGAATTTACATATATGTTCAAATAATATATAATATCCGGTTGCAATTATAACAGCTGCTGGCTATTTGAAATAATCGGCTTTCCTGGATAACTTTCAAGTAATAATCAATTTTTCAGCAATTTACCGACAACCTATTTATCAAACATTATGATTTAGCTGGATGCCTAATTAATGCTCTTACAAGTATAGCAGAAATCCTACTAATAACCATCCCGGAATTAGGAGCACTCCGCTATTAGGACCGTTACCCTGTTGAAACCAAAAGTGATCATCCTTTGCCACCAGTAAAGAGCCAAGTCAGCCTGTACATCCATACTGTTTGTAAACTATATTTTTATCATATAATTTGAAAAAAGTATCACTACATGGAAGATAAAAGAGTCCAATTCAAAAACTGAACAGTTTAAAAGTCACGTGGTGAATACAAAGTCATTCAGTGTTTTTGCAATAACATAAGATTTATCGTTATTGATTGGGTCATTAATTGATTTGACTAATTGATTGGTAAGTGTATATTCAGGCTCACAGACATGTACATGATATTCTGATCAGATATATTTACACACAATTTTTATTTTCATGTCATAAATATTATAAGTAGTAAATAGGACATTTTCTAATCATGTTTAGTAGTTGATTTTAACAATTCCTATTGTAAATTGTTTAAATATAAGTTTTGTTCCAAATAATACGAAAGTAAAGTTAATGATCATATTGAATTGAAAAGTTGCATCCTTGAAATATGTCATGATGTCCTACCGTCATTTAACGCATCCACTAGATTGCTCTTGAGATTTAAATTTCCAAGTTTTAAAATGTCGTCCGGTATTTTAATTTGATATATAAAATCCTCTGTGGTATACATCAACACATCTGTTTTCTAGCTCTGTCAAAACACTGCTTTTGTCATTTCATAAATCACATTCTTTCTTTTTTTCTCTTTTTTTCATCTTAATTAGTAACAGGAAAAATCAAAACCATAGTTTTCATGATCACGTGACGTGTTTCCGTGACGATTATTCCAGTCTTTTCTAGTAACAACAGGTCTTGGTAAACGAACAGGTTTGACTTGGGAGGTTTCATTTAAAAATGATTGCTTTCTCCAAATCCTTTGCTGGATACTAGGACTTTGGCTTTTGTTTTTGGTTACCTGTAAACACCACTGATTGTTTACAGATATGACACTTGTTTTTGGCTTTGCTGTTAATGATAAAAAAGGGGAAATTGTTAAGTTATTATCAATTGTTATGAGAATTATGGAATAAACACAATGTTCATATAATATTGTTGTTTTTATTCCTGTCGAAGGATCGACACTTTAACCAGATCTTTGCAACATATTAACTTATGATACTAATTGGTGCAATCACTTTTAATGTAATCTCCGGACATAGCTATACTAACGTTAGTAAAAGAAACGATCAAAACAATGTTTTGTTGTATTGATTAATGTACACTATTTCCTACTATTGATGTAGTAAAACTGACAGAATAAAGGCTACTAGCCGACCCCTACCCCTAAAAAACAACAACAACAAAAAAACAACAAAAAAAAACAGCAAAACGTTACATGAAATAATCATCATGTGTAAATAACTGTCAGCAATCATTCTTTCTGACGAATAAAAATGGCATTTTCATCGCTTTCTTATGAATATTTACAAGCTTTAGAAATAAATGTTGGAAACAGACAAACAACTCATGTGTTTTCCGTCCGCTTGTTAAGGGTTTGGGTGCGCGACAAAAGGACTTGGACAATTTACCAAATGACAAATATTAGTTTGGTTAGATAATCAGACAGTTATTGTATGAAGTATCAATGAGTATCGAAGTCTATGGACCTGACTTATGAGATATAGGTCTGCAATGGGCACATATTCTATAAGTTTTACAACTCTTGATAAAACAATCAATAGAAATATGTCACTTGAAATTTCGTATAATATGCTGTTGGAAAAAATGTTTATGTTGTTCAAGGTGATTTAGAATGACCATTTATCTGATGACATAGAATAAAAATATGTTTGTTCGAGAACATTTTATTGTATATTTGCTATATAAATAAATATATGTAATATAGGATCATGTATGTCACACTTACCAACAACTTAAGTACATGTATAACTATTTCATGGTTTGTTGTTATGTCCAATACTAAACACTATCAATGTAATTATTCATTGTAGTACAGACCTTCAATTTAACACCAGTTCACTTAAATCAAAACATCAAAAGTGAATAGAAAATAGGAAATTTTACCGACATTTTACCAATATTTTACCGAAATAAGAAGTATAAAAGAAATATTCAAGAAATACATACCTCTTAAACGAGAACTTTTATATTTACAAATTCGTGACATCCAAAATAAAATGGTTGCTATGTACATAACACTTCCAGTTGATAGAGATGATATAACGAGTATCACACTTTTGTTGTATTCCGTCATCAGAAACAGGGTTTCCATGGTGATGTATGTCGTTTAATTTGTTCTTTGTGTGCAAAATATAAAAACAAAAAAAAACATAAGAAATTTTTATGAGAAATATGCCTTTGCAAGTAATATCTTTATTTTATTTTACAGTTTAGTCATAACTTTTCTTTGAAACAAAAATTTTCTTTTTCTACGCTTAAAACGCATTTTAAACGTTCTTAGCAACGTTAATATGATAAAATATATTTACAAATATAGTTACAAATATCAATACTATGCATTAAAAGCGTTGAAATGTTGAAAGCAAAATTAAAAATAATCGTCGTCATTTTGAAAATATCTTCTTGATTTTTATCTTGAAAATGTATTTTAAATCTGAAATATACTCGGAGCAAATATCCAACAGGGTGTTAGTTTCTGCCAAAATTGCCACTGATGCTAAATAAAAATATTAATAATATATAACATTAGTTATATAAATCCTTTCGCTGTTTTATAATTTAGTCCATGTACACAACCAGAGTTTATTCAAAATTAGCAATATTAAGTTTCATGCTAATTTTCATTTTTCAATATAAGGTATATTGCTTTTATGATAAGCCGTGTAATAATTCTACTCGAAACTTAGCAGTCTGAAAAATTCAATGTTTACAAACAATCATAATTAGTTTGTTTTTTTTTGCATATTTATATAACTTGTTTGGTGATACTACACACATTGATAACATTATTTCAT